TGGGGATGGGGATTAAAGAAATTTATGAAACCAAGGTAGGCAAAGGTCTAATTCTGCCTGAATTGGGGCCATGGGATGAAGAATTTAAATTTAAATTTGCATCTCTTTTTTTCTATTTTTTAAAAAAAATTTGATGGTGAAATATTTTTCCTTCCAGTCCTAAGCTAACTACTAGAATGTATTATATTCTTTATTGTTTGAATGTTTTCAAACAGCCTGCCTTCCTTCCTTTCTTCCTTCCTTCGTTTTTTCCTTCCTTCCTGTGTTTCTTTTTGCATCATGATTGTCCATAATGTTCTGCTAATTTAATAACTTCAACCCAGTTCCTAGAATCTCTTCTTGACTTTTAACTGGGCAGAAAATATTTCAGCCATGTATTACATAAATATGATGTAGTAAAATTACCTCCTTTCAATAGCAAATTTTTCTTGGCTTATAATTAATAGCATTTCATCATTTATATCTACAAAAACATTGATCACTGTACTAGGCCATTCTTTCCCTCAGTCTAATAATGAAGCAGCGAATACATTCATTTATACTTTTTAACACCTAATTGTCTAACTTTTGCTTTTCTGAAATCTCAATAAACTAACATCTTCTTTAAGCAGATCCTCATGCAGTTTAAAAAGAAAAACATTTTAGTAGGATTAAACTGAACCTTGATAATTAAGTATAAATCACTACGAAAACATGCTCAACAAACTCAATGGCATTGGTGATGCTTTTCAGAATATTTCCATAGATATTATAGTCAGAGATACTATGCTTTTGTCTAAGAAGTACACTTCCTCCTATATTTTTCTTAGTTTGAAATTCTCATACATCTGAAAAGTGTCTGAATCACCAACACATACATATAAGTAAACACTAAAGGAAAAACAGATCTAATACCTTGAGCTGAATTCAATCTTGTTTCAGTGATGTGGATGTAAAGAGTAGTTTTAGACTGTGGCTGGTTAATTTAATTACATCATGTAGCTGTTGCCAAAATTTTGGTTTGATTCTCACATTGACCCAATGTACTCCTGTGAACCAGGACTGCACCAGTCATCTTGCCTGATAAATTGTGGACAGAAGACCTTGGTGCTATGATTGAGATTCTAGGCTCTGGCATTGGAAAGACAAGGGTCTGAATTCCCAGAGTCCAACCCTCAATGAGTTACTTAATTAACTTAAGCTTCAGTTTTCTTTAAAGAGAGAGAGCATTAATAATATGCATCACTACAGAGTTGATGTGAGGACTAAATGAAATAATGTAGGCAATACACTTATCCCGTGCTATATGAAATATTTCACAAAAAATATTAGCCATCATTAGAAGTAGTAGTTTAAAATGGTTTTAGGAGAATTCAGAAGTGCACTGGGTCAGTAGTAGGGAAAAGCTCATATATTTGCACTATTAAGGATTCTGTTTCTACTTGCGAGCACATAAAATTATTTAGTAAAAAGAGAATAATGACATTAAGTACGAAGAATTTAGTATAAGCTTCTATTTAGTAAACCTAATCTCAAGATAAAAAGAAATAGCAGCAATAGTGAAATCTGGTAGCAGAAGTGGAGCAAGAAATACAAACACATGCCAAGCCCTGGCCCAGCAGGGAGAGTAGGTAGCATGTTGCAATGGAAAAAGCACAGGCCTTGGAGGCAAGATAGTGAGTTTTTGCACTCTCTTTATATAATGATGACATTGCATTGGATATTTCCAGGGTTCTTTTTGAGCTCTTACTCAATGTAAATGTGTGAAAAATTTGGCTTGCCTTCTCCATGGAATAAGAGTTTAAATAGATAGACTCTGTGCTAGGTGGAGTAAAGGCCTCCCCAAAATGTCCACGTCCTCATTCTGGAAGTTTTGACTATGTTACCTTACATGGCAAAACGGACTTTGCAGATGTGATTAATTTAAAAATCTTGAGATGGGAAGATTATACTGGATCTTCCACACAGGCCCCAGGAAATCACAATGGATTCTTACAAGAATAAGAGAGGAGGGGCAGAGGCAGAGAGAGATGGAGATGTAATGAAGGAAGCAGAGGTCAGAGGGATGCAGGCCATCTAGAAGCTCATAGGAATTGGAAAAGAACAGAGAACAGACTTCCCTAAAGCCTCTAGAAGGAATGAAACCTTTGATTTTAGCCCACAGAGACTGATTTTAGACTTCTAATTTCCTGAACTGTAAGGTAATAAATGTGTGTTGTTTCAAGTCACTAAGTTTGTGGGAATTTTTTACAGTACCAATAAAAAAGTAATACAAGCTTTATCAGTGGGGTTTTACAAAAAGGAGGCAAGTTGTGTTACTTGAGGTACTATGCAGAGACATTTGGTTGATCCATGCATTTTTCATAATTATGGATTTTAAATGACCTCTTAAATTTCTGGTAATTATTACTAGTGGTAGGAAAGTAAATAAAGGCTTCAATGCTACTGCATACTTTAAACCGTCTATCTGCATTCCTTCATTTCCAATTTTTCCAGTTTCCTCCCTTGACTCATTCTTATGAGTGGACTTTCCATCAATCTATGATTCCACTTCACAAACTCTCTTGGAATAAGAGCTCAGAACCAAAACAATGAAGATATAAGTTGACAATAACATAGGAAATATTTTCACAGGCATATGACATACTATGCATATTATGAGACTGACACATTGAGGAGGCTGAAAATCAGTTTATTAGCTATGACCTAAGTTAACATGAGAACATACCACAGCTTGTTTTAAGGAGTGGCAAGATATAAAGTAGATTGGCTGGGTTAGTAATAAAACAAGTGTGACATTGTTGTTTTTCTTTTCACTGACATCTGTGCCATACCTTATTCTCGTTAAATTGTTTCTATTCCACTGGTACCCTCACTGGTGTTTCAAATATTTAAGACTGACTGCATGCCTTCCCTGCTAGGAAGGAAGGGTGGGTCAGAGGATAAGTGTGGCAAGGGCTGGGAGCTGCCATAACACGCCAACATTTACAGATGACTCTGTGATGGACCTCTACCCCTCTGGACAGCTGCCTTCATTGTACTTGGGATTTTCTAGGCCAGGTATATATATATTTAAACTGGGGCTTCGTTCTTCTCATCTCTTGTTTTGTAACTATATCCAAGCCCAGAGGAAGAGAAGAGGCAAAGGGCAAGGATGCTCAGACAAGTTTGGATTGAGGTCAGTCTGAACAAGTAGTAGGCTGTGACTTATGACTGGCAGAAATCAGAGTTTTCCTTAGATCCAAAGTCCTTGAGACTAGGGACTATGCCTTAATGTAGGTAAAAGTCTTGGGGGAAATTAGGCCCACAAAGATCAAAAAGAGGGCCGACCCCGTGGCGCACTCGGGAGAGTGCAGTGCTGGGAGCTCAGTGGCGCTCCCACCATGGGTTCGGATCCTGTATAGGGATGGCTGGTGCGCTCACTCGCTCAGTGCTGTGCGGACGACACCAGGCCAAGGGTTGCGATCCCCTTACCCGTCACAAAAAAAAAAAAAAAAAAAGATCAAAAAGAAATTAGGCAACATATGCTGATAACCTCACAGATCCTTGTAAACTTTTTGGGACCCCAATTCTCAGCATGATTGCTTGGTCCAGTGTGGGCAACAACTTTATTTAAGAGAGTGCTGCTTGAGGATCATCTTTAAAGTCTCTTGAGATAAAATGGGAATAAAAAGTAGCAAGGCTGATAATTACAAAGGAAAATGTTTTACAGATGTGTAGGTGTGGGATAGATGGTGATAGGTTAAAGGGGCAAGTAGGCATTGCAGGTATTTGCTCATCTAGGAGGAATTACAGAATTGGAGCCTGAGGTGCTCCTGCTCGGAGACCTTAAGTACATGCCACCCCCTTCTGGGAAGTGAAGCTTCTGAGAGCTTTATATCCATGTGTAGCAAAACAGCCATGAGGCAGTCAGTGCCAATGCTTCTAAACAATGCATCTGGTTCTCAATCCCCCCCCAATCCTGTTTTTATTTTGCATTTAAAAAAAATGGTGTAATACAAAAATGGTTTTAATTTTTTTTCACAAAATTTCAGATTATTGGCAGAGTGCATTTTAGAGAGGCTGGCTGAAGGTGTTACTATAAATGGAAGAAAATACAATTAAGAATAGAAATAAAATCACTAGATGACATTACATATTTAAGTGGAAAATGTGACTCAGTTCACCCACATAGTTATTTGCACAGAACTTTTAAATCATACATATATTACATATAAAAAATACACATAAATTTAAACAAATTATTTGATTAAATAATAATAGAGGCATATCAAGTTTTTCATCCACAATAAAAGTCACTCTTATTTTAAGTAAAAAAGTGTTCATACACAAGTAGGCTTGTGATTTATTCTGCTAACCCCAAAGCCTGGAATAATGTACTATTCAGGATGAATCATGGAAGGCACTTCACTTACTGATGAAGTTGGAGATAGCTACCTAATTCTGCCAGAAATTTTACACTGTAATCCTCCCTATCCCCCAACAAAGGGATATAATGGAATTTTGGGAAACAATGGATATTTATTGAAAGCAATATTGAGAGACACATTATGAGACAAATTCCTATGGTCTGGAGAAAAGGGAGTAGCACAAAGTACTCTAATATGTGGACTCTCCCTGTAACGCCAAAGGCCTAACTACATCTTACTCTCTCCTTGCTAAAACCTTTCAACTTAGTTAACTGGATTATTTTCCCCCGGAAAACATATTTCCAATTTTATAGCAGAAATTCATGGGAAAATAGACTCTGTGGAAAACTCTTTTACAAGCAAATGTGCTAGAACATATTTATAAAGTGAGGGTTACAGGCGTTATCTTACTCAACATGAATCTAGCAAATTTTTGTTTCCTTTTAAAAATCTGAATGGCAGATGGTGTGTGAACAGAACATGTCTCTACTTGAATAACATGATTCTAGGTATTGATATATGCAATAAAAGAGATCAAAGCATGCCAAGTAATTACTAAGTTCTCTTTCTTTGCATTGTGTAAAGATCAAAATATGTGCTAACTCAACAGCATCAATGCACTGACTGTGCATTTACTAACTTAAAGTATATGTCCCGATTTCTCAGGAGCTCTTGATGAGTTCCCTGTTCCTTTATTTTTCCATTGTGCAGAACCACTATCAAATCTGCATTCTGTATTGTGGAGAGTCTGTGACTGACCACTAGGCACATTCCCCCCCCCCCCCCCC